AAAGGTAGCGTTCGGCCTTCGAAGCAGCAATCATGAAGAATTCCACCGTCATGATAACCGTGTGCGGTCGTCCGGTGATGATCTCTCGTCTGGTACCGAGTGGCCGCAATGCGCTGGTTTTGCTGGCCTTGTTCGCTGCCATCTGTGGCATGTCGGTTTCGGGCTTCCTGTATTCATTCAATTCATTCGCGGATGCCTTGAAGGAGCAGCTGAGCTTCACTCAGACACAAGGTAGGGCCTGTGAGTGTGAAGGGACCCAGGGTGACTGAATTTCTGAACATTATGACTTGCATGCATTGCCACGGAGCATAAACAAACATTCACTTACATGTACTTGTATGCGTGTATGCGTGTATGGTGACGTGGCACAGGAATATTGGGTGCGTATGCATGTCCCTGTGCATGCAATACCGGTACATGTACACAATTCCCACCAAGCTGTGTAGATGATCTGCCTTCTACCGATACCATGACATCCATACATTGTATGGATGTCAGGCTACATACATGACTGTATGGTAGTCCCCTGCTTATCCACCCCACTTGCCGGGTGGGCTGCCGGGTACAGAGGAAGGAGCATGTGTGAGATACGCAAGGTAACGTTGTGTGCTATCCATGAGGATGCTTCTGTCTTTGTCATACTCTTGTTGCACGATGCAGTTGAGTGGATCTCGTCCGTTGCCAACATCGGATCATGTATCGGCATAACGGCTGGCTTGTTCATGCAGCGGTTTGGTGCCAAAATCACCGTCTGTGTGGCGGCATTGCTGAGCTTTGCTGGCTTTTTCGTTGTGGCAGCATCCATTGAGCATCGCATCCCGACACACTTCTCGCTGATGTGCATCTACTTCTTTGTTATGGGTAAGAGGCTAAGAGCTAATAATTATAATAAGAGCACGTGGTAAAACGGCCTTTTTAGCAACCACTGTGATTATGCGGTCGAGTTACCATGTATGGAGTGGCATCACAAGCAGGAGTTTGTCATTCCAGACATACAGTGTACATGTATGTATACACTGCAATTTATGATGTCATTAATATGATACTACTATAAAGATGTCATCTGACAGCACATAAAGTGATCTTATTAGCATATCCACACATCTTCACGACACTCTCCAAATGGTCTCTGAACTACACCAATCACTAAAAGAAAGAAAAATACGTAATCAGGCCATCCAGAATTAATTCGTTGTTTCGGGTCACCCGACCGACCGTCTTTTTTCACCCGACTGCATAATGTTTTTTTTTATAGTGCATGCAAATGTACAGACTACACTATGTACACACGCGACCCTAATAATAGCAGTCCAGATATCGACCTCAGAAGCAGCCATGGCGAGCCAAATGACAGGATGGAGCGCTTGGTGACGACGTAACCGTCGTTGTCGGCTTCTATCTCCGATCCGCAATCAGTCCTGAAACAGCATCAGCTCCGACACCTTGTCGCTATTTACAGAAGTTTTCAAGATGAGAGCTGCTCGTCAGACTCGTTTGCCAGCGAGGCCAAGATCTGGACCTGGTCCTGGAGGGGACCTGGATCTGATGGGACAATGACTGCGCTGGATTGTCTACACTACAGTCAGATTTGATCGACTGGCTAGATGGACAAAAACTATTCGATGTACATGTATGCACATGGACGTAAACCAAAATAAAAAATAAAATAAAATAAAAAATAAACCCGACCGACCGACCCTGGTACGGATGAATGAAGTGACCCGAAACAACGAATTAATTCTAGGTGGCCTCATTCGAATTTTCGGATGATGGGCCTTGCCCGAAAATTCGAATGATTACGTCTTTTTCTTTCTTTTAGTGATTGGTGTAGTTCAGAGACCATTTGGAGAGTGTCGTGAAGATGTATGGGTATAGTCGATGGCTAAAGTGGAGTCTTCGCATTTGGAGGAATGTGTTCCAAAATGGTCATTTTTTTACTAGAGCCACGTAAACCCGTCATGTGTGAGCCATGAATAAGAGGAGTGGTGGCGTGGTCTGGGATGCTCTGCCGACCTTGGGTCTCGGCTTCATCACAACCAGGCGCGCCAATAGCAGAGAGAGAGAGAGCGAGAGGTCATCAGCATATGCGTAATCAGTCTCCACTGCCCAAAGAGTGTTCCATACCCTAGGGCAGAAAATATTTCACGGTTCACGTCAAATTCGGCTAGAGGCCGAGTTTTCCGCATCCGTAGGAACGCCACCACCCTTCAAGGATCAAGGTGCAGATGCAGCTCCTAAAGCGGTGGGAGGTGAGTAGATCAGCTCACCACAAAGTGGTCGAAGACCGAAAATCCCATTCACTGCACCCATGTTTCCCTCGTGCCAGGTCACGAGTTCCCAATTAACTGTGGGTCGCAGCACGACTGGAAAAAAATCCTTCCGCTTCCAAGCAGGACTTGAACCTGGTACCCTCTGTTTCTCAATCATGGTCTTAGACCATCACACTATGCCTGCCTGCCTGCGCAGAGCCTTCCACAAAATAGCGAGCGAGAAACCTGTGTTGCGACTCTATGAGCGTCCCTGATGATCGTGACTTAACGACAGGTATAAGTTAACGTAACACTCAGAGTTGCAACACAGTTTCCTCTCTTGCTTTTTTGTCATTAGCATACAGCGATGATGTCATCAGGACATTGTGATGATGTCTGTCTTTCTGTCCTTTTCAAGTAAATCGGCTCTTGTTTGGAATTATTTACCAGACGACCTGAAGTCCTGCACTACTATCCCAGATTTCCGCGTCAAATTGGCTATGTGGCTAAAAGACAGCTTAACTCTAAAATCATTGTTGTGATTTGCTTTCAAGCAATGTGCATAATCAGTAAATTGATGTTGCTGTTTTTTTTGGTTTCCCGTTCTCGGGGCCTTCTACTTGATTCGGTACTCTTTGTAGTTGTACTTCTGTACTATTGAGCTATCCGAACACTAAACACTAAAAAATAAAATAATAATAATAATAATAATGTCATTAGCATACCCTCTACAAGATACCGGCATCCGTTTCTAGAGGCTGATATCAGGCTTCTAAGCACATCCGTCAAAGCATGCGTTGAGCGCCGTGTAGAAAGACCAGTGTTGTGCACCCGACATAAGCAAGACTAAGACTTGTGACGACTATGATAAGGTGACCATGGTGACCACCTGCCCTAGAGGACCACAAACTAATCCAGGGCAAGAAAGGGTATCTCTTCCGCTTCCTTGACCCTGGATAAGGAGATCACCTGTACACGGGCTGGGGACCAGATTTTTGGGGTCCTGTACATCTATGGACCATGGACCATGCATGCTTGTGCATGTAACCAAAGACAACTCTTTGTAGACATAGACACCATTATACTGTCTGTCAGTGGCGTCAATCACACGCTGACTGAGGTCCATTGTAAAACGTAGATTTACTACAATGTACATTGTATATACCGTACTGTCGGGCGCCGAAGAACTGGCGGGGTCAGGCCCGTCCTAGCCCTTGGCGGATTACGCTCGGTAAATTGCTGAATTATGCTTTCCATTGTGCCATGCCAGTGATTATGCTACATTATGCTGGAATTATGCCGATGAGTACAAACAGCCCTTGGCGTATTATGCTCGGTAAATTGCTGAATTATGCTTTCCATTAGGCCATGGTAAAAAATAAAGTTGATTCTCAGGTCATGAGCCTGTGAAAATCGGCGCGAGCGAGCGATTTTTATTTTAATTCCCGCAATTTTTTTATTTCCAAAGATAGGGTCACACATGTGTACGTCACAGGTTCATAATTAATTTATAATTATTTTATTATTCAGGCCAGGGAGTAGAAAAATACCGGTATTTTACTACTCCCGGATTCATGCCTTTCGCATTGACCGTTTTCATGCACGCCTATGCATGCATACAAGGTGAATTGCTATTTCTGGACATTGTACATTTCTGGACATTTCGAGTAAAATAATTTTTCGTCGCGTGTAGAGTCAAGTCAGTCAGGTTGATGAAGTTTTTTCTTGTTGTAGTTGACAGCTGGGCTGTTGTAGTTTCTCCTCGTGTCGGTGCCTTGTTGATAGCCTTTTCTTGGGAGGCATTTCAACGAGTTTTGTGGTACTATGTCGCATGAGCAATTGTCACATATTTGGAAAGATGAAGGATTAAGCCATACAATAGATACAAAAAGATATGAAAAATGTAAAACACACAGCCAGTGGGCCTCTATTTTATTTTCATGTCCAGAAATTGCTATTCACCTCGTAGAAATAAAAAAAATCGTCGGTGCGCCACCAAAAATCGATGCGCGCGTACTTGAGAATCAAAGATATTTTTTACCATGGCCTTATGCCCAAATTATGCCAGTGATTATGCTACATTATGGTGGAATTATGCCGATGATGGTGCTACAGGTCTACTCTCCATATAACGTAATCTCAGGGACCACGCAAACATTATGTTATATCGAGAGTTATGTTATGTAGAAAACCGTGGGTGAAATACAAGATGCACCTCAAAATGAAGGGTATTACAAGGCGGGTTCAACCGTGCAAACATATACACACTGTACCACCATCGACATGAGATACCATCAATGCCGCAGAATATGTGCACATAGGACTAAACTGGCTAGCTACGGCTACAGCTTGATTGTACCGCGCACGTGAATCTACGTTGTATCGAGAGTGTACACGTCGGGGACTGCGCGTATGGGTGCGTTATGCCGAGGTTTACGTTATGTAGGACTAAACTGGCCTAAAGTCTGCCTAGCTACAGCTACCGCTTGATCATACCATGCACGTGAATTTATGTTGTATCGAGAGTGCGCACGTCGGGGACCGCCGCAGCGTGTGTTATGTCGAGGTTTATGTTATGTAGGATTATGTTGTGTAGAACAAATTTTGTGTGGGAGTGATGCTGTTTCGGCGCGGGATTTGATTTTTTTATGTACTAACGAGGTTTATGTACAAGTGAGAGTTGTTATATCGAGAGCAGACCTGTATACTGTATCCTTGCACTCTTGTTGCACTTTGCAACATTACAGCGACTCTGGCACCATGACAGCACGGCTTAACCCTTTGAGAGCACATTCACCAGGTTATTTCCTGCCGCGGATATGCTTTAAAAATATGCCTGGAGCATTAATCTTCAGGCAGCATCGTAAGGTTCTGCCGACCCGGTCTGGTCTCAGAAGTCCTTTTATGCCAGCCATTGCCAGAGCATAATCCGAAAATTAGGCCAGAAATTATGCCAGCCGCGATATACATGTATCATGATAATCCGCCAAGGGCTAGCCCGTTCTTATTTTTAGCGAACAGCAGTTTCGTTCTTATTCGATGGTACAGTCTTACATGTACAATTATGCAGAGTTATACGTCTGAGTGTACAATAGTGTATATTACGGCTTCCGTCCTTATCTGCAAAGAGTCCAGCCTACCCCGTTCTTAAAAAAATGTGAAATTCTAGCCTGGCCGTTCTTCGGCGCCCGACAGTAGTAGTATTAGTACTGTTACACTCAGACCTCGCTTATCCGGTCCTCTTTTATCCGGATCCCTCGCCATCCGGAAGAAAATTGTTGGTTACCAATTTACAGCATATGCCATGCATGCATACAGTATGTGCGTTCGATAATCCGGTTCCCTTGCTTATCCTGATATTTTGTGGAAAACGGATGTGTGCGGTTATGCGAGGTCTGACTGTAGTGTAGTATATGTAGCCTGCATAGGTACCATCACTGCCACTGGCCTGCGCCTTGGCCTTGCCATGAGCTGGGACTTCCCCGACTCATTATTTTTTTCTCTGTTTGCAACGAAATTATTATAAATTTTTTAATGAAAAGGATCTTTAGACAGAATTAGAAGAACTCAGTTTTGCATTGCGTTTCTTCCAACGACGACGGTAGTTCAAGTAATTAGTTAGTTGTCGTAGCATTGTCGATGCGAGTCATTCAGCTACCGTTGCTCTACACTGATGTTACGGGCTATCGTCATCAGGCCAGCGCAACAGTCTTGTTTTGTGCTCGTGAAAAACAGAAAAAGAAAATAGAATGACTAGCGAACAATCCTACGTTGCTGTGGGCACTTGGGCATTCGCTGCGCTTGCTGTGGAGAAAGCCAGCGAAATGATTGGGGACAGGGCTAGCGGAGTGTTCACCGCGAACAGTGACGATCGTGGGAGCTCGGCTCATTTGCTGGACATAGTGGAGAAGGCGGTGAACACTGTGGAGGAGGATGCTGAGTACGGTGTGTATCTGGTGGGAAAGGGATCCTACAGGAATGCCGCCGGAAAGCACCAGTTCGACGCAGCGATCATGGATGGCCGTTCCCTGTCGTTTGGCGGCGTTTGTGCTCTTGAAGGCTGTTCAGTTCCGATCTCCGTGGCTAGAAAGGTTATGGAGAAGACTGCACATGGTATGTTGGTGGGCACTGGAGCTAGAGTGTTCGCCAATGAGATGGGCTTTTCTGAACTTACCGACGAGGAATTGGACCCTGTGACGCCGGTGGGCAAGCAAAGTGGAACTCTGGGTGAGACTGGCAAGCAGTCAACAGCGAGTGAAGACGGTGCATGCTGCCGAGCGGAAGCTGCACCTAGCCAGGGAGGCCATGATACACTGGGTTTCATTGTACGGCATGCGAGTGGCCGTACGGCGTGCGGGGTCAGCACTAGCGGACCGGCGGGGAAAATGACTGGCCGAGTGGGAGACAGCGCCTTGCCGGGCTGCGGACTGTACGCCGATGACACGGTGGGCGCTGCCGTTGTCAGCGGTGATGGTGACACGTTGCTGCGCTTCTGCCCAGCGCATGCCATCATCACACGCATGCGTCTTGGCGACAGCGCCGGCGACTCGTGCCGAGCCGTGGCCAGGGACATCGTCAGTCGTCTCGGTCACTCGGTGGAAATCGCCTTCTTGGCCGTGGAGGCCACCACCGGTCAAGTAGGCGCAGCCACAACAGTACCAGAGTGGTTTGACAAAAGAACCGGCAAAACCTACCCAGGTTTCCCGTACGCGGTGTGGACAGGCTGTCCTGGGCAGGGCCAAGTCGAAATACACGTCGAACCACCCATTTCTTGAAATACCCGTAAGCGAGTATGCTGTACTGGATGTATTCGCCAATATGTGGAGACCGGCTTGTTCAGTTTTAATTTGTCAGTTTAGGAACCAATATAAACTATATTAAGTTAAGTTAAAATATTTTATCTTATTTGGTTCCTTTAACTGATAAAGGAAACCACAAGAGATGGTATTCTGTGTGATGGGAGACTTAGCCTGGTCTACAGCAAAACTAATGTGCACTGTCAGAAGCTTGAGAAAATTCGAATACATGTACTATTAAAGAGCTTTTAAAAGCTCTGTGCCCAACTTGTGCTGCATTCTTTGCCTTATGGTCTAACGTTTACTTGCACTGTGTTGTGTTTGTGCTTTTCTTGGCGGCAGGTCAAGGTGGTATCTTCACGTACATGGCATGCATGATGACGACGGCCGTCAACTTCTCGCCTGCTGTGCGTGGCACTGTGATCGGTCTTGTTGACTCGATGTACGGCGGCAGCGCTGCAGTCTTCAGCACCATCTACACGCAGACCTACGGCGCATCGAGTGTGGCGCGCGAGCAGGACGTTGCCGGGTTCTTCTATGCTGGCGCGGCGATCATGGCTGCCGTGAACCTGTTCCTGTTCGTTGCTCTGCTTTGGATGCCCTGGAAGGCCGCTGCAGACAAGCCAAACCATAACGGTTCTGACGCAGGGAGCTTTGATGCGGCCAGTTATGAAAACAGTAGTGACATGGAGAAGAGCGACAGTTTCTCAGTTGGCAGTGGCCAGGAAAGTGTTAGTGATCAGCGTGCACACACTCCAGCTCTTGGCTCTCCATCTCTGCAGGCATCTGCTCCGCATGTTGGCTCACCATCACAGCATTCCCAGGGCCGATCACATCAGCCACCAATGCCCAGTCAGAGAGTTGATAGCGAAGATGTCATCGAGCCAGTGCTGGAGACAGACTCTCTTCTCGCTTCGTCCACTGCAGAAAGCAGTGAGTGTCTTGACAAAAGCAAGCAGCCTGATCTTAATACCCTGCAGTTGTTCCTCAACGTGAACTTTCAGCTTCTTTTCTGGGCATTTGCTCTAGCAACTGGAGTTGGCCTGATGTTTATGAGCAACGTTCTATTCTTCCTCAAGGCATACGGTCTGGAAGATGACAGGAATCGCAAACTATTCACCACGCTACTGCCAGTCTGCAGCCTTGTGTCGCGGTTTCTCAGCGGCATTGTGTCGGACGCAATGCACGCACGGTTCATACCCCGCTCGCTGCTGCTTCTCGTTGCTTCAGCAGCACTGCTTGTTGCCCAGGCGCTGCTTCTCGTGCAGCCGGATAGTCTACGCGTGCTGTTGGTCAACACCACCTGTGTTGGTATATCGTATGGCAGTATGTGGTGTCTCGTTCCGACGATCATGACGCACATTGGCGGCTTGAAGTATTTCGGCCAGAACTGGGGCATTGTGATGCTCAGCTCGGCACTGGCTGGCATGGCTTACCAGGAACTGTACGGTAAAGTGTACGATGATCATGTCCATGCCCCTACTTTGCCACCGGGCGCCTCTCCACGGCCGGATGCCGGACCCGCGCCGACAGAGTCGACGTGCTACGGCAGCCGGTGTTTTGCCGTGACAACGTACGTGAGTGTTGCGTCCTGCGCCCTATCCTTTCTCATGGTCCTGCTACTGTTTGTGCGTGACTTCAGGACATTGCGCAAGGAGAAGAAGAGCAAGCTCTCTACCGGAAAGTAAACCAGTCGGCTGTGATTTTCAGCTAGTAGTGTGTACAAGTACTGAGCACTGGCCTTCAGTTCCTGTAGAGGTTTAGTGTCGTACACCATGGCCAGTGCATGGATTGTGATTATACCTCCCTAGACCCGAGCATCACACTGTGTTCAAGGTTGCAGTACTGTGTGCATAGAGTCCTATTCATGCAGTCAGCTGCTGAAACGCAAGTATTATTTTTCGTACTCAAAGTAATAAGAGTAAGTTGAAGCCTCTTGAATTACTCTGGGAGGTGTTTTGGTGCGATAGGCTGTCAGCAGCCGGCACTGGCAACTGTTTCTCATCCCTGAAGGACCTTTTTAATCTCCGGCCCTGTGAGTCAAGCGGTGACTGAACCCACTCAATGTAATTACTTCATCCACTGTTGCTTTGTGGTACTGACATATTAGTCATGGCCAATGCATGCATGCAACCCACGGAGGAAAGGGTCAAACTGAACACTGAGGGTTACCATTAGGTTTCATAAACCGTGAAAGGTGCATTATAAACAAATTCTGCTCACACACTGACGTTCATGATTGATTATCCTGCTCGTTTTTGTGGTCCAAGCTCGAAAGTTGTATTGTGCAGTTTGGACCTGTCGTTGACTGCGATTACACGTGTGTTCATTACACCACTGAGCTCCTAGTAGGCGGGAACTGAGTTGAAACGTCACTGTCTTAGTTCCCGATTTTGAATGAGCCTTTCTACGTTGAGCACTAACTTACTTAGCTCAAGGCTAGCTACATGTAACAGATCAGACTGCACCCATGCCTATAGTATACTCTCAGTTTTTTCTTCAGTTCTTCATTTTTGACATCTTGAAGCTGGCCTATTGCTGGTTGAACCGGCAGCTGGCATGATGGAGTTGTCTCATGAAACCCCGTCGACGCCACTAGGCTGGCCCGGTCTATTTGACAGTCACGGTTCGGTTTATTTTGATGCTTGAACTTGAAGGATCTAAACTGGTACATGCTTTAAAATACATGACTATTTTCGTTATGTAGCATTGTTCTGCCATATTTTACGAGTTTACCGGTATCATTGAATTTTTAGTATTTTACGTACTTGACGGAGCCTGGTGAGTGACAGCTCGAGGGAGTGACAGCGGCTCGAGAGAGTGCTCGATATTATGATTTACTCAGATTTAGGCATGATTATGTAGATTTAGCCGCGCCTGATGATGCGGTATGTTGCCAGTGGTGATTGGACTTTGATATTTTTGGCCGGGCCGATCATTTTTTTCACTTTAAAATCTTTCTGTGCACCTGTGAAAGGCGTCACTGAGTGGTCCATGTGGACTTCAGCCCCCCCCCCCCCCCCCACCGTTCAAGACCCGGAGTCAAGCGTACACGTACGTACGCCGCTCAGATCAGATGCCAGGGTTGTAGCCCGCTTGTAGGGGTTATCAGTTTACTGTAAGACATGTATATATAACGAGGAAGCAAATCTAACGTTTTAACGGATGACATTTCTTCGTTATAATAAGATCCGTTGAGGCCGTACTGCTTCATATATGCTGTGTGTGGATATGGCAGAATACTGCAAGATCGTTAACATATCTTCTCGTTAACCTATGAATTTTGGACAATCGTTAAATTTGCGACTCGTTATAATAACATGTCTTACAGTATGAGCCTAGTTTTGACCAGGGAGTTGTATAATTAAACCCGGTTTATGACTCCCTGGTCCTGGACCTGGTTTTGACTGGACTGATATCAGCTAGTATAGTGATGTCATCAGATGACAATCATTTTCAACAAAAATTGTTGTGATGAAAGTCTGGTTGCCAACGATGTTGTGAAGGACTCTCCATGATCCATGATCCACTCGAAGAAACATTTTCAAAAAAATACCTGTAGCAAAGACTCTTGCCGTCTTGGAAAATGGTCGTCTCTAGCCATCGTACTGTCTTCTGAAAGCGTATGCATGAAAGTTCTTTGCGGGGTCCTACATCGTGCTCCGAACAGCAACGGGATAGCATCATTGCTGTTGCTACTGAGGTTATTGCGGTACCGAAGTATTTAGCGATAGCTGCTAATGAGTTGAGAGAATATTAGCAGTGGCCAGTGTGACGGTGTTTTGGTTTTGCAGCTGAAGGGTTAGTCTGAGTTGGGGTCAGCGTATTCACAATTGTAGCTGAATACCCAGGTATATTGTGACCTCATAGGATCTGCCCGGATAGGAGACGGCGCGAAGAAATCAATCAATTTGTGTGTTGGATACGAATCAGTCAACATGCTTTGTGCATGGCAGCAGTGCCGCGGAGCTGTACGCCATGGGCCTGTGAGCGGCTTATTCAGTGAGGGTGGTTTGAGACCGCTGCTGCGTACTAGTACCAGTGCTGCACGCCGTGCACTGCGGCTGCCCAGTGCCGTTGCTGCTGTGCGTTCCTTTACGTCGTCGGCCTGTGGCGCACGTCGGCCTGCTAGCGCGGCTAGATCGGCTCGGGTTCCAGCGTTGGCCGTGCGGGTGGTTTGGTGCGGCGGGCTTAGTGGCGGTCACAGCTCACAGGCGGCTTACAGCACCAACACAGCACCAGTAGTGTGGTTTTCTACTCGCAGTGCCAGTTCTAGACCAAGCCCCCGAGCAGGCAGGGACGCTCGCAGGCCAGGCAAGCCGTCGGTTGCGGCCAAGGATGAAAGCCGCACGGCGGCGGCCAAACGAGCACGGCAAGCTGCGTTTAATGTGTTTCACAAGGAAGCAAGAGGAGAGAAGGCGCTAGAAGATGATGATGACTTGCTGGTGTTGTATTCGGCTGACAATCAGATGAGGCGGTCGTACAAATTTTCTGGGATGATTGTTGTACTCACACAGGTGTATATGATCATACTTGCCGTGCTCATATTATTTGTGAGCGCTCCGGCTGCTGACGCTAAGGCAAAGGAGAAAGCAGAGGCGGGCGAAGAGGAGATGGATTTCTTACGCTCGCCGCTAGGAATACGGCTACTGGGCACTGCCGGGTTGCTCTTTGTCAGCGCAGCCTACTTTTTTGCCTCTCGTCAATCAACGAGCACGCTCCTGTCACTTGTACTGCGGCGCACTGACAACGTGGTTCACGTTCGTACATTTCCCAACCTGGCTGACTATCCCAAGCGCAATTGTTTTGCCCTGTCTTGGCTACCAGAGATGGGCAAAAGCCGGCTGTCGGTTGAGTCTCATAGGCTGGAGTCTCGCTTGAATCTTGTGGTAAGTGGTGATGGGGAGAATGAAGAGCGCAAGCTAGTGATGCAAAAGCGCTTTCTGAGGCACCCCGACGTTTGGAAGGATAAGCTGCATTATGACATTGACAGCGCCCAGAGTTCAAAGGTCTAGTCGGGTATGCAGCGCTGCCTGCGCACGAGCCCTGCCAGACTGTCCCCGGTTGGTTATCATCTGCCGGGCAGAGGACGGTGCTTATGCCGTGGTGCTAATCTATTCCGCGCTGAATGTGGCAGTCTTGATAGCTATTCTGCCATTGGCAATGCTTTCACTAAGCTGTCCTCACAAACAGCTAAGCTTGCTGTGTGCAAGTAAACTTTTTTTATGCCGTTTTTCGTTGACAATCCAATTTTTGTGTCTCTAGATGCTATGGGTCAGAAAGGTGCCTGGTAGACTACTCTGATAAGGAGAACACCTGTCCCAGAGGACCAGTACAACGGGGAACAAGGGGTGTCATTTCCACTAATATGAACCTAGATAAGGAGAACACTTGTACACAGCGATCATAATTTGAAAGTCCCTTGAGCAGTCGGCTTAGACAGGTTTCTTTGTAAGGTTGTTTCAAAACCATACACACTTGTTGGTTAGCGATGTGAACTAAGGTGTCGACACATCGAATTCTGGCTGCGAGAAACAGAAAATAACCAGTTACTGTACATACTAAATCTAATAATTACAATGTGCATCGTTCTGCGGATAACGAATTCAAAATTTAAAGAATTATTTGTATTCGTTAAATCGTTAGATTTAGATGTTCGTTTACTAAGACTTCTAAAAGTGGTCTTACACACAAAGAGGAAAGTTGAGGAAACACATCTGGATGTATTCCTTTGTATGTCTCCACAATGATCATACGTAGTGAAGCACATCTCACATAAGGGAAAGCAACATTCTAGCAGCAAGAAGGGTGACTGTGGTGAAATCAGATCGCTAATTGCAAGGGGTATGCGTACGACACTTCGTGTACATTTAGCAAAACAAGAAGAGTTGTTATTGCGGCGGGATCATTACACACTGACACAGCAGAGTGCACCAACCATATCAGGTAGTGACAAGGGATCACTGACTTCCGCTAACACAGCAGAGCATGCCAAACCATTCAAGACACTGTCCCCGGGGAAAATCGCAGAAAAATCCCAGAATTTGCGGGTGAATATGGCATAATTTGTGGTAAACATGCGGTAAATATGCGGTGAATATTATTGATATGCGGCCAGTTTGCAGTTGATATGAGGCAATTTTCAGTGAGTATGTAGTGAAATCAATCAGTTACAAGTCTCTGGTGTAAGCACTTGTCATATTTGAGTACAAAGCCGCCACGATGAGACGTTGCTGACCGAACAGTGCACAGTGTGTACGTGTAGTGCAACAAAAAAGTTCAAAAAACGTGGGAAAATCGCGGAAAACGCGGTCTTTTAAAAATCGCAAAAACCGCGGCCGCGGAATCGCGATTTTCCCCAGGGACAGAACACAGCGGCAAGGTGCACTGGCTCTCAAAGGCCATTACGCAATAGCAAGTTCAACACAGTATACTAGAACGAGGTCTTGGGAAATATCGTGTACAATATGTCGTCCATGATGCGACCTTTGTAGGTAGCCAAATACCACACAGTGGAACAGAAGCCAGGTACAGTCATGAACAGGGCGATGCTAAGCGGAACGGGATACCTCAGCCAGCCCACGAACACCAGCGCGGGGCGTATGACTAGATTCGTGACGAGCCGGAGCTTGCGGTGCGCCCCGCTGGGATCATGCGCAGCTGTTGTGATGTCATGGTAGCCCAGGACAGCTAGCAGGCCGTACACTAGGTGTGCCGCAAAACGCAGCTCCTTGTGCAGACCATTGCTGAAACCTTCCAAACTCGTCAGGAAACCACCAAAGCCAAGGTGAGAGGTGGACGACGGCGTTATCGAACCAAGCAAGCCCAGAGAGAGGAAGGTTACGCCCGGCAGCAAGATACTTGGACTAACCGACCGCCAGTTGTTGCCCGCTGCGAATGGAACTGCGTCCCACCAGCTGGGAAACGCTGTCGCCGTCTTCATTGCGGCGTTGTGATAGCGAGCGTACAGGTAATATCCAGTGAGGATCAGGTCAGGGGGTATCAGCACGATTGGTAGGTCAACGGCTGTCAGGCCAAACACAACCCACACCACTAAGATCAACGAGTCATAGAAAGCACGGTGTACGCATGCGTTCATATCAAAGTGAACGTTCTTGCTTACGCCACTGACCCAGTACAGCATCGACAGCTCCATCAGTAGAATCGCAAGTGGCATGATGCAACCGTACGCCAGTGCGGGGTTCTCTTCCACGATCATGGCATCGCCCAGTGTCAGGGGAGCGATCAGGGGAGTCACCCACTGGGGAAACAGGTACAGCAGCGCTCCTGCACCGAAATACAGCGTTCCAGCAATACGCGTCATCTTGTGCGTCGTCAGCTTGTCCAAGCTAGGTGTAACGTCGCAGGGTAGCTGGAAAGCATCTTCATCTCCGCTGCTCTCACTGCTACTGCCGTCGCTGTCTTTTTCTTTGCCCATTTCCTCTCAGTACTCGCTCAGATGTCAGAGTCGTCGTTTCAGTATTCACTTGGCTCCACGATTGGTGCGCCGTCGCCCACTTGGTAAACCGGACAGGCTAGGCGAAAACTACGCTAGCTCCGCTGCATCTAAATTCTAATCCGGTGATGGTGGCTCGTAAGTCACACGCTGCATGCAACTGCTTGCGCGGCTAGGCTGCCTGCGGAATCATGAAAAAAAACAAGCACAAACTCGCTCCTGAACAGCTAACGTTATATATATAACAGGTGGATGAAATCGAGACCGTATCGTAGACTCTATGTCTATGAAAATTTAATGCTAGTAGATCTACTAGTAGTAGACCATGGTAGACGTACTGGACTACAAATTCAATAGTGTAGGTAGATCTACTATGTACTAGTACTAGCATCATCTTGTGAATAAAAGTTAACCGTTCAGGCGTTCTCAAGTAGTGGATCATCTACACTCGCTGCCGCGGTGCAGAAACTGAAAAGACTGCATGCGTGCATGCAGCTGC